AGTCGCACTTGCGACCACTCGGCCAACGAGGCAGTCGATTTTATGTAGTGTTTATATAAAAAAGAATACATGTTGGTACAGGCTAATACTTAAAATAACGTGTCCCCGCTACCAAGGATGTCAAAATGGTCGACACATCGCCCGGCGCCTTTCCCCTCATCGTCGTTTGTGCTCCTCCAACAGGATATTCTCTATTATGGACTGTGGCACTGAGCGCTCTGACCGTAAACTAACAATATTTTTCTGTATTACGTTTTGAATACATTGTGTGTGTGTGTGTGTATGTATGATATATGTATGTGTCATAGTAACAGTGTGTGTTAATGCGTGTGTATGTATGTATGATGTATGTATGTGTCATAGTAACAGTGTGTGTTAGTGCGTGTGTATGTATGTATGATGTATGTATGTGTCATAGTAACAGTGTGTGTTAATGCGTGTGTATGTATGTATGATGTATGTATGTGTCATAGTAACAGTGTGTGTTAGTGCGTGTGTATGTATGTATGATGTATGTATGTGGCATAGTAACAGTGTGTGTTAGTGCGTGTGTATGTATGTATGATGTATGTATGTGTCATAGTAACAGTGTGTGTTAGTGCGTGTGTATGTATGTATGATGTATGTATGTGGCATAGTAACAGTGTGTGTAGTGCGTGTGTATGTATGTATGATGTATGTATGTGTCATAGTAACAGCGTGTGTTAGTGCGTGTGTATGTATGTATGTATGATGTATGTATGTGTCATAGTAACAGTGTGTGTTAATGCGTGTGTATGTATGTATGATGTATGGATGTGGCATAGTAACAGTGTGTGTTAGTGCGTGTGTATGTATGTATGATGTATGTATGTGGCATAGTAACAGCGTGTGTTAGTGCGTGTGTATGTATGTATGATGTATGTATGTGGCATAGTAACAGCGTGTGTTAGTGCGTGTGTATGTATGTATGTATGATGTATGTATGTTTCATAGTAACAGCGTGTGTTAGTGCGTGTGTATGTATGTATGTATGATGTATGTATGTGTCATAGTAACAGTGTGTGTTAATGCGTGTGTATGTATGTATGATGTATGTATGTGTCATAGTAACAGTGTGTGTTAGTGCGTGTGTATGTATGTATGATGTATGTATGTGTCATAGTAACAGCGTGTGTTAGTGCGTGTGTATGTATGTATGTATGTGTCATAGTAACAGCGTGTGTTAGTGCGTGTGTATGTATGTATGATGTATGTATGTGGCATAGTAACAGTGTGTGATAGTGCGTGTGTATGTATGTGTCATAGTAACAGCGTGTGTTAGTGCGTGTGTATGTATGTATGATGTATGTATGTGGCATAGTAACAGCGTGTGTTAGTGCGTGTGTATGTATGTATGATGTATGTATGTGGCATAGTAACAGTGTGTGTTGGTGCGTGTGTATGTATGTGTCATAGTAACAGTGTGTGTTAGTACGTGTGTATGGTTGTATGATGTATGTATGCGGCATAGTAACAGTGTGTGTTAGTGCGTGTGTATGTATGATGTATGTATATGGCATAGTTACAGTGTAAGTGTGTATGTACTGTGTATGTATGATGTTTGGAAGTCAGGCTGTGTAGTATATTGTTAGTGTGTATGTGTCTGGCATATTAACATTGTGTTTAAGTGAGTGTGTGTGTGTGACTGTTAGTGAGAGAGAGAGATATATATTTTAGTGTTTATAACGGGAGTGTAATGACCAGTGTATACACGTAAAGAATGACGTAGAAATAAAACACAGTTATAAGTTAAGAAATACTTATATTACAATAGAAAAATGAAATACATGTAAAGTTTTATAAACTAAAAACACTAGAATAGTTAGTAACACTAATGCGCAATTTAGCTGATTAAAAAAGAAAAAGTTACAAGATCACAAATTTATACAATTAACAATTTACATGTATATTAATGTGTGGAAATTATAGTTACTACAACATAACTATTATTATTGCAGTTTAATGCAAGTCTAAGAGTTAATTCTTGGATTTACCTACTTTGTTATAAGACAATTGTTCTATCTACTTTACCTAAATTATACAATTATTTACGAGCTTATCCGGCCATTCATTTTTATTTTCATAGATTTATTTAAATTTTAACAACATTCATTTAATCATCGTTCATTGGCAAATATACAACATCTCACCGTTTATTCCTCGTATTGATTTAATGTTGATAATTAATAAAAAGTACTACTTCGCCAAGTTTTTTAACAGTATTTATAGATTTGATAGTATTATTGCATAAAAGTATTACAACATTATTAAGAAATGAAAATAAAGTTTTTTATACGTAATCCTACGTATTTAAATGAATTGACTAAACTATTGATTTCTTGTTAACACTTTATTAATGGAAGAGAAAATTTCGAGCTTTACTTTATATTTTGGAAGTACTATAAGTACATTGAAGTTACTACTTCGTCAAATGATGAATTAATAATATTATTTTTTTAATATTATTATTTTTATATTTTTATATTTTTTTTCTTACTTACAGCCGAATTTAATAACCTCTCTCATTCTAATAGCAGTGAAATAAGATCGATTGACAGTAAATGCATGCAACATACAAATAATGTCAAAAATCGATCTTAATTCACAGATATTGGATGGAGACAAGTAATTAATTTCGGCTATATATCTAAATATATCAGGATACTATACTATGGTAGGTTACTAGAGATAAGCGCAACTTAGCCATAGGATAGTATCCCTGTACACACATCATACAGAGAAGACACCTATATATACATAATCAATCTGCATAACGGTACTAATATATTCAGATTCCTAACAACCAACTACCCCAAATTAAAGGAATCAAGTACTAATCTAGCACAACATCAAGTCCAGCCAATGGAAAAACAATGTATGTAACTAAACACCGACTATATTTTTTTGTAAATAAATTCCCTATATGGGATAACAATGAGGTACTATTTTACTATTAATGCACTGCAGTTTTGCTCTCACAAGCACACAGAGGGTAACCGAGGAGCAGTACTGCTCGTATTTACTCATCTGAGCGATATCCACTCGAGGTGAGTGACCAATTCGAGATGTTCAACTATCTGCTGACGAATGGCAGTTATAGCCCCCTCCCTAAGTAGCGGGTAGTCTCAGTAGCAACTGGCGCTTTCCTGGTGTTCCCAACCCACCCTCTGTTATATCACAGTTAAACTAATTCCTGATTTGAGGTATTCGGTGGTATTTAACACATCCGATCATACTAGATTGGAAGAAGAGAGCTCCTTCGGTTTATTGCGAGGGAAGTCAGTTCGTCCTGGTATAATCAGACATGTCCTTGCCTATGTTGACACCGGCTAGGACATCAGAAAGACACTAACGTCCACCTACCTGAATCAAGTTCAGATAAGTGATCGCCTAGAAAATTCAATCTAACGTGCTGTATCCCTGCGTCAACATAGGCGGCCAGCCTTATTCTATAATAAACTCTATATATATTATATTACAAACACATATAAAAGTATAAAAGTATAAAAATAGAATATAAATACATATAAATATATAAATAAATATCTTTGGTGTAAATAAATATTCTCTGGTATAAAAAATAAACTCTGAATAATTAAATAAACATATGTATAAATATATAAATATATGAATTAACTACCTAACCTACTACCTACGTTCAGTTACGGCGAGTTGGGTATTCTGACTTGAGAATAAATCAGTGAATATAGTAGTGTACCCTCTGTTCCGTCCCTGAATGAGTGCACCGCGCTCGAGTAGCGGCCGGCATCTGTACCTTGTTGAGCGACAATAAACTAAACGCTAAAAAGCAACTAAATGTTCCATTAACCTCGTCCCAGGGTTGGTAGGAGGAACGAGTTTTTCTCAAACCAACAGACAAACAGAGGCATTAGTACGAGTTTCTTTCACATTGAAAGTAATCAAAACGAGTACGCGTTCGGCGCTGTGATTGGCCGGCTCCAATGAACCAACCAATCAGAGCGCCGGACGAGGTTTCGTTTCAATTACTTTCAACGAAAAAGAAACTCGTACTAAGGCCTCAGAGGCATTAGTACGAGTTTCTTTCACATTGAAAGTAATCAAAACGAGTACGCGTTCGGCGCTGTGATTGGCCGGCTCTAATGAACCAACCAATCAGAGCGCCGGACGAGGTTTCGATTCAATTACTTTCTACGAAAAAGAAACTCGTACTAAGGCCTCAGAGGCATTAGTACGAGTTTCTTTCACGTTGAAAGTAATCGAAACGAGTACGCGTTCGGCGCTGTGATTGGCCGGCTACAATGAACCAACCAATTAGAGCGCCAGACGAGGTTTCGCTTCGATTACTTTCAACGAAAAAGAAACTCGTACTAAGGCCTCAGAGGCATTAGTACGAGTTTCTTTCACATTGAAAGTAATCAAAACGAGTACGCGTTCGGCGCTGTGATTGGCCGGCTCCAATGAACCAACCAATCAGAGCGCCGGACGAGGTTTCGTTTCAATTACTTTCAACGAAAAAGAAACTCGTACTAAGACCTCAGAGGCATTAGTACGAGTTTCTTTCACGTTGAAAGTAATCGAAACGAGTACGCGTTCGGCGCTGTGATTGGCCGGCTACAATGAACCAACCAATTAGAGCGCCAGACGAGGTTTCGCTTCGATTACTTTCAACGAAAAAGAAACTCGTACTAAGGCCTCAGAGGCATTAGTACGAGTTTCTTTCACATTGAAAGTAATCAAAACGAGTACGCGTTCGGCGCTGTGATTGGCCGGCTCCAATGAACCAACCAATCAGAGCGCCGGACGAGGTTTCGTTTCAATTACTTTCAACGAAAAAGAAACTCGTACTAAGACCTCAGAGGCATTAGTACGAGTTTCTTTCACATTGAAAGTAATCAAAACGAGTACGCGTTCGGCGCTGTGATTGGCCGGCGCCAATGAACCAACCAATCAGAGCGCCGGACGAGGTTTCATTTCGATTACTTTCAACGAAAAAGAAACTCGTACTAATGCCTCAGATAGACACGTAACACGCACGAAGCCCCGACATTTCAATTTTGAAAATTATATTGTTTAATACTTTCTGACATTTAAAAGACAAATGAAAAAATTAATTGTAATAGTTTTTTATTTTAAATAATCATAATTGTAACGACGCTAATTAAGTTCCTAAAACATTAAATAAAGATGGCGCGCAGTCGCTCAACAAAAGACAGAATGGTGTATTAAGAAAGTAGCCTGAATGTGTTACTAAAGAACTGTTTACTTGGGCACGATATTAACTTTGTATTAATTTGATGATATTTTAACGGAATTGTAAAGGAATCCCGAAGCCCAATTACTAGCCCACTAGTTTTTGGAACGAAATACATGAAACAAACCAAAATAACTTAACCTAGTACCTACTAGGTTAAGATTCCGCACTACCTCATGTCGGTACGCAAGTTAGTGCGGAATCTTTGTGAACCTAATACTACCACAAGACACACATCTAGTAATGAAGTAACTAACAGAATTCTAATCACATCCAACACGCTCCTACTGACACAATATGAAACAAACGGTCAAATACATGACATTGACTCCGCCCTATCTACGTCTTGCTTACATAACACCTCCGTCAAATATAATGCAAACAAGATGTTATAAGCCGGAAAGGTGTTACAGGTATCAAGTATAAAGCAGTGTTGCCAATTACCAGTGGGTACATCAAACCTTAATTAAATAACATAAATCACAGACCTCAAATAATAATTTAAGAAACAGACATACTGTTCGGAGGCATCGATTTAAGGCTGATGTTAATGAGCCAAAAACCAGTGCCCAGGAATAGGCAACCGGCATCGGATAACGCTTAACCAACCGCCCCAAGGCACTTAGAAAATTTTACTAAAATATTTAACTATACCGACGAAAACTCCATCTATCATCGCGCGCAACCCAACCAAAGAAAGCGAGGTAGGATTGTGCCCCGAGGACTATCCAGCTCTGTTACTCCGAATACCGCTACACTAGACCGAGTTGGTAAAAGTACTAGAAATAATCACATTTAAGCAACAGCTGTAAAACATTGCAATGGAAGTACGCAACTGAACTGAACGGAATAGGAGGAAGAAATAGAAGGCCGAACGAAGAATCAAGATGGAGCCCTAAAGAGGGACTTCTAAAAAGAGAAACAATTCGAAACAAATATGCCACAGCCATGAAAGATAGGGCTGGAGCATGTTAGGAAGTGACATCATTCCGATGTTGAAGTTAGAGAGAGGACAGGACAGATCGAGTGGAGCTGGGCTCGAAGTGACCGTTCAGTTAGAAGGGTGTCGAATCCACCGCGAGGGAACAGTTTGTCTGTTTTTCGGACAACATCTAACAAAATAAAATTCCGCTATAACACTTCAGGTGGCCGCATCTTCGTCGGGATCGAACTCGAGCTTCACGCCACCGCTGAGCCCGTCGACATCATCTATCTCCGAAGCGTTAAGCATATTTAAGGTAACCTGAAATTAGAAAAACATCATTATTTATATGAAAAACTATTTATAACTGCGGGCAGAATACATATATCCACAAATATAGGTACATATATCCTCTTCGATTAGTTTAATGCGAAAACTGCGTTTAAAAAGTCTGTTTTCGTTTTTATTTTTCGCTTTTTAGTTTAGTAAAAGACTATATAGACCCCGTATAGTACCTATATCTTACATGGATGCAGTTCTTATAAAAACAAATTAATCAAATACAAACATCAGGTAGCTACTGTCAACCATTGAGGAGTTCCCTTAGCTGTCATACTATTTCATAATAAGGTCCTTAATGATAATCACACCCCATTTAGGTATAAAGCCCAAATTTAAGCTCAAACACAGGGTCATTGCTGCAAATCCTAACTGTCTCTCAACTTAATCATCAGATCAACTCCACACCTTCAGCAGATTGTGGGAGTTTTAAATACTATATAAAAAATTACAAATGCTCTAGTCGCCCCTACAATTTTGAAAAGTTCCCAGGGTTTCCATGGGATCCCATTTATTTATCTGATTCTAAACTGGTGAAAATGGGACCACCCCGAGAGTATGAATATAACTATGAATTGAGAACCTCCTCTTTTATTGCAAAATAGGTTAATAAATGTTCCATCAACAGAATCGGATGACTTGTACATAATTACATATACCACAATACAAAAACTACCAACAAAGACGCTAGAATCACTACAAAGTATAATATCAAAGTAATAACACTAGTTCTAAACTAAAAAAATAAATAAAATGTTTACTACATAAATTAAGGAATGAATACATAAAATACATAATCAAATAAAATGTAGCAACTGTGAAAAATGTTTAAGTAATAAAAAATGAGTTCAATTAGTATCACCGTACCGTTATTCGTGAAATATCGATTAAAAACTAAATTTAGATTGATTTTTCGTTAATTTAAGGAAATTATCTTGACCAGATATTGGCCTGGTCCTTTAACGTTACTATTCAGATTATCATGGGTAATAAAAACAATTGATCGGTAAAACATTTCAGAAAATTGAACTCACTTGACAATTGAAATGAAAATCTTGGTTTGATAAAAGAACTAAAAAGATGACTCATGCAACCAGTGACAGATGACTAAAGTAAAAGAACGTCACAACTGAAAATAACTAATTGGTTGCTTAGTCAGTGAATTTATAAACCTCTGCGTTCTGGCTAAAAACTGTCTGTCTGTTGATCACGCTCAGTGGCGCGGGCGCCGGCTGAGGTGCCTGCTCCGTATTGTTGGTCGCAACCCTGCTTACCTCACGCATCGGTATACCTGCGTCTTCAAACGCTTTTCTTTTCAAGGTGGTGCGAATCTGAGATCTGAAATAAAATAATACAAATATATAAGCAAACCACCGACTTGTGCACGTACAGGACACGAGTGTGTGGCTGGCATTGGAGTTGTCAATTTGCTTTGGCAACGCTAGCATTAAATTGACACATGTATTTTGTAACAAACAGAGAAACAAACGCAGTGCACACCATAATGGTACCATTAGAAAATTGCATTGGCTGTCAGTAAGGATAGATTACTAATGAGAGATGTATAAAATCGCGCTTGCGTATAAATAACTTTAGAACATCCTGTAATAAATAATGGACCCGTAGTTAGGTGACGTATGCGCCGCTGGAAGGTGTGATCCGGCAATCCACGGTCACTCGATATTAAAGCCCACGTCACAATACGAGGAGTGTGGGCATGGCACCAGTCCATCATTTGTCGCCTTAAAACCTGTAAGTCATAAAAACGACGTCCATGTACCCTCATATCCGGCATTACAGCAGAAAAATGACGGATTAACTGATTACAAAGAGACAAAAAAGACAAAGTGACTGATTAACTAGATACGCATATTAAAAAGCAGTACGTATATAAGGAATACGATGACCAAATAAAGAAGAAGGACCACAACCGCAACTTTGTTCAGTGTTCAGGGTTTAGGTACTAACGTGTCAAGTGCGCCGTGAAACGCAAAAAACTCATAAACAAAAATGTAATTTTAAGAAAATTCTTAACACCAAGTACCTATATTGCGCATTCTAATAAAAAATCACGAACGTGTCTTATACATCACATCAGCAGCCTATAACTGGCCACTACTGACGAAATGCCTCTTCTCAAATGGAAAAGGTTTGAGCATTAATCACGTATGCTCAATGCAGATTGACAATTTCAAATTCATAATTAGAAATTATAAGTCCAGGTTTCCTAACGATCACGGGCCTGCAAACGGCTAGCACGGATGACTCGCCGCCCGACCAGAACCGGACCCGAGCGTACGGCGCGTCGCGTTCCCCGCGCGCCTCAAGGAGGCATCAGACCACCACAGATGGGGCCCTATAGGACTGATGCCGATACGAAGCCGCGGAAGACTTAACGGGTTGCCGGGGCTCCGGCTCAAAGTGCAGGAGTAGGAACGGGGTGGTTTTTAGTCAGTCTGACACTCCCTCTCGCCTCACTTGGGCGGGAGAAGTCATTGGATGACTTTCCCCCTCAAAAAAAGTTTCCTAACGATATTTTCCTTCACCATATGTCAGTGATGTCTCAATAATCTTAGAAAGTACATATAACTTTGAAAGTGTTACATTGGTCCTTGCCCTTGATAGGTTTCGAAAGCGCATCCTCATGCATAAGAAGCAGGCGTCTTTAACCTTCGGGCCACCAGAACGTATCTTAATAAACAAAAATTACAAATTTCCATTACAATAAACGGTGAATATGGAAAACGGTGTTCGGGAAGTTATGAGGAATCTTATCATCAAAACTTCCACACTGCCTGAAGGCCAATGTGTGTTGCCAGTGAAGAGATGATATTCGGTACTGAGACGTAGACCCTATCTTCTGTCTATTAGAGATTAGAGAGACTCAAGAGTCGCTCAACAAGCGGCGTGAGGGAAAGAAAAGGAAAGTTAAAGAAACTAGAACTGGGTCGTATAAGACGAGACGGACCGTGCGGAAGGGATGGGACGGGACGCGGTGTGACGAAAGGTAAAGAATTCCTTATAGCGCATGTCCAGTCCCAAGGACGCTGAAACCTGACTGAACTAACAAAGAAAATCGATACATACATACATATACATAACATCACGCTTTTTATCCCCGAAGGGGTAGGCAGAGGTGCACATTATGCCACTGTACAATGTAACACCCACTTTTCACTATTTATGTTATGAGTCCCATGTAATAGGGGGTGAGCCTATTGCCATATATCGGGCACAATTCCAGACTCCGTACTACTACTGAGATTTTTTTTAAAACCCAGTATTTCTTTGCTCGACCCGGGAATCGAACCCGAGAGCCCTTGCCCGACAGTCGCACTTGCGACCACTCGGCCAACGAGGCAGTCGATATTTAATCGTATCGATATTATAGTAACAGCAAAGAGACCTTGCGTAATATGAAGACACAAACAAACAAATTGTACAACCATCACAAGACATGACAAGCCAAAGAAGATAAAACTGTAGAAAATTTTTCTGGTCCTCAATAATGCATTGTAATTGCAATGTACTACGGACTTACCCTCATACCAAGTATTACAGCAAAGCAATGACTGCTTCTAACTTCACTAACACACGAGGATAGATAATGGAGACCGAATAACTAATTCCGCGCACGCACTGATAGTCTATTGTAACCAGTCCACAAGATGATGTACTGGTTATGTTCGGAATACGATGACGCGTTGTAACTAGATGCAGGTCGGCGGCGCACTGACGCAGTGCCGCAGTGATAGGGCGGGGGTACAGGGAATGCGGAAATGCGTTCTGCGCAAGTACAATGCCGCAGAGACAGGGTGTGGCACGGGACACAGCCCCCCCTACCCTTACACGTCTGCACAGTACCAAGTACAGAAGTACAGCGCATGTGCCATCCGGGGCGTGGTGCGCGGCTCGATGGAAGAAGGACAACAAAAGCGCGTACAGCGCATGTGTAAGACGGGGTGTGGCGCGCGACGCAGTGGGGGGATGATGCAATGCAGTGCCTGAACCGCGGATATAAATCAATACAGGCAACCGTTTCCCGGGTATGCTATATCTAGGGAGCAACTTTGGTTTACATAGAAACCATATAATGTTGAAAATGCATAATTAGCTCGACAATAATGAAGAAACAGTAGAGTGTATCTAATGGGGCAAAAGACCGAGAGAGCAGATAACAGTTCCAGTGTCATGACCCTGTCTAAGTCCATGGACATAGGCCAAATTGACATACATTTCTTTAATACCCTCTTATTGCCATTAATAGTCAGGATGAATATTAATGGCAAGTACATCAAACAGAAGAAAGAAAGAAAAACAGTATATTTGCACCATTAGAGAAAAATAGAACAATGTACAGACGGTGCACTTATGTCCGTTTCGCCAATGCCATAGTCATAATGGCTGAGTCGCTGGAAGACGAGTATAAGTAATAAGTGCCGTGCTTCGGCACGGATGGGCCGGCTCGACCGGAGTAATACCACGGCCTCATAGAAAACCAACGTGAAACAACACTTGCGTTGTGTTTCGTCGTGTGAGTGAGGTTACTGGAGGCCAAATCCCCAACAATCCTTAACACCTTGACCGCCATGGGGGACAAGGTATGGGCCACGATAGCGGAGGATTTATCTTCAACAGTTTTCTATCGGCAGTCAAACTGTTAAATTCTTAATCCATGGACATAGTCATAAAAAGTCCAGTACATAAGTCCGTAGACATAGGAAATATGAAATACGTTTCTTTGGCATTATCCTGTGCCATTTGGCATAAGACTCGGGACAAAGAGAAATCTCGAAAAATAAGACAGCTTCACGAGATCCTTCTAGAGGAGATCAGTTGATCTCCTCTATTGAATGGAAATGGAATTCTCTCAGCGCAGTTGCACTGAGAGAATTCCATTGAAAGACAACTTACCCTCATACCAGATGTTGCCACACAGCTAACTTCACTCACTCACAGATAGATAACGTTGACTGATTCACTATCCGAACTAATTCCACGAACTGCTTGTCCCTTACAACTAGTTAACAAGAAAATAAAAAAGTCAGGTTTTATTCGGAATATGGCGAGACGTCCTAGCTGGACGCAGATCGGCGGCGCACTGACGCAATGGTGCAGTGCGTGAACGTGGCATGAAGGGTGGAGGGAGAGGGTGCGCTACACAGAAGCGCGTACTGCGCATGTGCCAGCCAAGGCGTGGCTCGTGGCACGGTGGGGGGATTGAGAACAACGGCACAAACAGCGCATGTGCCAGCAAGGGCGTGGTGCGTGACACGGTGCAGGGATAAAGAACAACGGCACAAACAGCGCATGTGCCAGCAAGGGCGTGGTGCGTGACATGGTGCAGGGATAGAGAACAAAGGCACAAACATACAGCGCATGTGCCAGCAAGGGCGTGGTGCGTGACACGTTGCAGGAATAGAGACCAACGGCACAAACAGCGCATGTGCCCACAAGGGCGTGGTGCGTGGCGCAGTGGGGAAAAGGGGTGGGGTGCATTGTGCAGTACCCAAATCGAAGTTGCAAATTAATACAGTTCACCAATAAGTATATAAAAGACAATAGGAATACAATGTTCTATTACGAGCTTTTATCAGATAGTAGATAAAGCCTAACATTTAGATGGGTAGTGGGTGTGTAGGAACATTTTTATTGTTTCGCTACATATTTTTAAGTCATGGTAACCATCGATATATATTATCACCCTAACGTTTAATGATGTCGCGGAGATCCTAACGGGTTACCGGGGCTCCGGCTTGACGTGCAGGAGAAGGAACGGGGTGGTTATTAGTCAGTAAGAGTCTGACACTCCCTCCCACCTCACCCAGGGAGCAATCATTCGATGATTTGCCACCCTTAAAAATAAACGTTTAATGATAGTGTATAACTAGGATATGCCCCATATTGCATACATTTTGAGATAACTTTTAAATTGAATTAAATTTAGTGTATCTATGGAACTATTTTGACATTCCGACAATCTGTTGATGTTACTATTAGCAATGACTTATTTGCAGCAATTTAATGTGGTCGAAGGAATAATGTCAAGTATTTGTGTTTATAGAAATAAGATGTACTATAATAAAAATATATTTAGAGGTTACTATATTTTTGTATATGCGTAATAGTTTTTATTATGAAAAAAGATTTAATTATTATTATTTATTATTATAACCGTGGAAGAGTTCTCTCAGCTATCACACTGCTTTACTTTTAGACTCATAATGACAATGGCATCCCGTCAATATGTAAAAGTTCTCATCAAAACAAATCAATCAAGCCTAAACACAAGGCAGCTACTGTTAACAGTTTAAGAGTTCAAAGTCAAAGTCAAAGTCAAATCATTTATTTTAATTAAACCATAGTTTGGTACTTTTGAAACGTCAACAAATACAAAATAAATAATCGTCTGTCAGTCAGTCCGTCAGTGAAACTAGGTGAAGCTAGGTGCTCATTCCAAAATGTATATTCGAATGGAGAAGAACGAGCAAGAAACTCCATTCGTTACTCTTTTTGAAAAAGTATGTAAGTTCCCTCATCTATCATACTGTTTCATCATCAGATTCCTAATAACAATGGCACCCCATCTAGATCTTCACTTCTTCACAATACACACTGAATTTACTTTGTGTTACTGAATCCTTAGGAACAGTCCTAGTCTATCTTAGACAACCTTCTATACACACAAACACACACACACACACACACACTATTTCCTCAAATCCAATAGGTATTCGTGTTTAATATGTATCTGTTAGGAATAGACCGTAGGTACTGTGCACAGATGTGCCCTACCCTGCTTCTGTTATTTTATTACAGTAAGCTCTATATAACAGGATACTAATGTAAAGCCACTGATAGTATCATATAATCAATCAGCCACGTAAATTATAACTAATTGGATAATTTTCCAAAACGTTCAAGGTGTAATCCTTGTCATTTTATTTCTATAAAACTGAAACCCATGTCTGTTTCAATGACACAACAGTATAGTTATTACATAGCGCCTCGTCGCAAGTGCGACTGCCGGGCAAGGGGTCTCATTAGTAGCACGAAGTCTGGAAATGTGCCCGGTATATGGCAATAGGCTCACCCCCTATTACATGGGACTCATAACATAAATAGTGAAAAGTGGGTGTTACACTGTACAGTGGCATTAAGTGCCGTAATGTTCACCTCTGCCTACCCTTCGGGACTAAAAGGCGTGATGTTATGTTATATCTCATCTCTTTAGAGCATGATCGATTTGATTACTTTTTATTTCGACTTTCGAAACTCAACAATCAGCATATGTATACTGGGACTGCACCTGCATAGTAACAGGATTCTTCCATAACATAACTGTTAGATTACTCCATTCTTGCGGAGAATATAAAGCGTTATAATAGGACAAGACTGGTAGATACCGTCTTTTACTAGCTCCTTCCGTTATGTCATCCGCGCCCTAACACTTTCGACAGTTTTCCAAATAAAAATAGTATTAAGTATCTAACACATTCATGTCAAGACTATATTTAGCTGTATTAGCTGCAATAAGCAGTACTCAAAACTATTTGACTTTATCCACGATTAACTCAAAGTTGAATGTACTATTTGAAACATTGGGGTTTTGGATTCTACATTAATATTGCATATTGATAAATTACTATCGAGTTTTGTAATACTTGTCAGAGTTTACCCTGCCTACGTGATTTACTTGTTCAAGCTTTGTCACCACTAGATCCCCTCCTATGCTTGCATTTGCAAACATACAACTTCACACACACACACACACACACACACACCCTCACACACACACACACACACACACACACAGACACACCCTCACACAGACACACCCTCACACACATCACACACCCTCACACACATCACACACCCTCACACACATCACACACCCTCACACACATCACACACCGTCACACACATCACACCCTGACCCGGTACAACAATTCGTAGACCACACAAATAACTAGTTCGCGCGAGTATCACACCCGTGTACAATAATATTCCCTCATACTTGTGCCATTCTAACCGCACTTATCTAATATCCATTACTATTACAAGGTTGCCAATACTAGCATTTTTTTTTAAGGGGGGAAAATCATCGAATGACTGCTCCCGCCTGGGTGAGGCGGAAGGGAGTGTCAGACTCTTACTGACTAAAAACCACCCCGTTCCTTCTCCTGCACGTCGAGCCGGAGCCCCGGTTACCCGTTAGGTTCTCCGCGACAGCCAATACTAGTACAGATGTTACCTAAAAGATACCGTGACCGAATTTGATTTTTGTATATCTTCTCAGACTAGCCCGACAGACAATGTCGACCCCGTCGTGTTGTTTTGAGCAATAGCTATTAGTTATTAATTATTTTGTCAGAGGTTAGTCCTAAATTCTATATTGCCCGCCTCGGACTCTAATAAGATATAATCAACGTAAACATGATACAATGTCAATTCATATCTAGACATGTATCTATGTAAAAGATAGGCTTATGATATCCATCACTGGCGAAACCCAAGTGGTAAAGTGTTAAATATCAACAGCATCACAGAAACACAATGTGCCAACCTTTATAACTTTGATTAATAAAAGGACTCTTAGCTTCGTTCAGGAAGGTGACCTTCCTCAGCTCAATTCGATAGAGTCGCAAAATATATTGAACTATACTGGAATTTTTAATATGAGCATACGAGTACCTATGCAAGAAGATAACTACATAACATAACCTCACGCCTTTTTATCCCCGAAGGGGTAGGCAAAAGTGCATACTTCGGCACTTAATGCCACTGTACAATGTAACACCCACTTTTCACAATTTATGTTATGAGTCCCAAGTAATAGGGGGTGAGCCTATTGCCATATACCGGGCACATTCCCAGACTCCATGCTATTACTGAGATTTTTAAAAACCCAGTAATACTTTGCCTGACCCGGGAATCGAACCCGTGACCCCTTGCCCGGCAGTCGCATTTGCGACCACTCGGTCAACGAGGCAGTCAGCAAGAAGATAACTATAATAACAAATGAGCTGCAACATGTTGACTTATATTAGAATCTAAAATTTAATTGCACACTATACAATCTGAAAGTACAATCGTTAAAACACTTTTTTGATACCACGACGGTGGCAAAAAAGCACACTGCCTGATAGTAAGCAGTTACCGTGGCCTGTATACGCTTGCAACACTTGAGGCATTACATGCACCTTGCCGACCCTTAAAATACCTAATAGTGTAGTTGAATCCTAAACTGTTTATTTCATAACGTCCAAGTTTCAAACACGCTTCACTCATACACAGTTTTCCCAGTAACCAAGCATAGTTGCCAATTAACATATCCATCTTATTTTTATTGCAGCCGCAGATTAGGAATTGTGCTAATCCAATGTATATAAATTTCACCATCTATACAACTATAAATCCTCCAATTATAATATCACGTTTACTAACGTGGAGAAAAACTTACATTGGTAAAAAGTCAACAAATAACACGAAATAACTATGCAGGAATTGAACCCATCCTCACGCAGATAGAAATAATATTCAACAATGCTCGTCTAAAAATAATGCAATAATGCAGGAGTCGAATTAATGCCTCACTCTCTTTTAAATAAATAAAAGATTGGGAGTCGAACCCACATACTGCTGAGACGTTACAAAATAAGTATTACTCATAACATAACATAACATAACATAACATCACGCCTTTTATCCTCGAAGGGGTAGGCAGAGGTGCACATTATACCACAGTACAATGTAACACCCACTTTTCACAATTTATGTAATGAGTCCCATGTAATAGGGGGTGAGCCTATTGCTATACACCGGGCACAGTTCCGTGCTACTACTGAGATTTTTTTAAAAACCCAGTAATACTTTGCCCGACCCGGGAATCGAATCCGAGACCCCTTACCCGGCAGTCGCAATTGCGACCACTTGGCCAACGAGGCAGTCAGTAAGTATTACTCATAATAATATAATAATATATGAAAGTGGGAATTGAACCCACAGGTTGAATAAAGC